CAAGTTTATTTATATAGCACCTTTCAGCACACGGCAACCCAAAGTGCTTTACAAAATGAAATAAAAGACATTTAAGAACAAATACAGTGGAAGCACATTATAAAAAGGCATTTAAAAAGCAAAGATAATAAAATCAACACAACAGGTATAAAATACATGGATAAAAAGCCATACTGCAGTTTGAATTTGAACAACTCAGCCAATGCAGCGTCAAAAAGATACGTTTTTAATCTCGATTTAAAAGTATCAACAGTTGCAGCTGACCTGCAGGATTCAGGGAGTTTGTTCCAGATGGTCGGGGCATAAAAACGAAATGCTGCTTCTCCATGTTTAGTTCTGACTCTTGTAGCAGAGAGCAGACCCGTCCCAGAAGACCTGAGACTCCTGGATGGTTCATACTTTTGCAGGAGATCGTTAATATAATTTGGTCCTTTTATATTATATGATTATATAGAGTCGTTATTCATTTGTTTTAAAGCTCAATAATACGGTGGCCCGGAAGTGCAAGACACCACAGCATTTCAGAAAACACAACAGCATTCAGAAAACACAACAGCATTTCAGAAAACACAACAGCATTTCAGAAAACGCCGCAGCATTTCACAAAACACCACAGCATTTCACAAACACAACAGCATTTCACAAACACTACAGCATTTCAGAAAACACCACAGCATTTCACAAAACACAACAGCATTTCAGAAAACGCTGTGGTGTTTTCTGAAATGCTGTAGTGTTTTCTGAAATGCTGTGGTGTTTTCTGAAATGCTGTAGTGTTTTGTGAAATGCTGTTGTGTTTTGTGAAATGCTGTGGTGTTTTGTGAAATGCTGTGGTGTCTTGCACTTCCGGGCCACCGTACAATAAATAACAAAGAAGACCTTTGAGCGGCACTTTTCTAATTTTGTCCGGAAGATTTAAACTTTAACGGACATGTTGACCGGTGAAATCTAACTGAAACTCTGCCGCACGGTCCCCTCGTTCCTTGGAAGAGGCCGGAGAGGTGGGTGTTTGTCATCTGCTGGTGGACTAACCGGAGAGAATTACAGCGCTTGCCTCGGGGAGGATTGCATTGAATTACAGCAGCAGGAGCAAACGCTTGCCTCGGGCAGGGAGAAAAAGAGCCAGAGCGTCCACAGCGGAGAATAAACAGAAGGGCAACCATGGCAACCATGCGCGGGAAGTCTTCTTCGCTGCTTTTGTGGCAGACTACAGCGCCACTTACAGGCTGGCATATGTACTACAGCGTCTCCAGTGCTTTCGAGCGGCAATGGCCGTGGCCCAACCCCCTATTCCCCTGATAGGTGGAGAGTTGCCCATATAGGCGGAGCACCCCTTTTCTGACGTCACAGAATTCAAATCTGTATCAGATCCGTTGCATTCCCGTTTTTAGAGATTTGGGTATGGAGGAAAGAGAGAGGGTTGTGTTTTCTGACACTTGGTGAGTTCACTGGAACACCGGGGACACATATTCATGTATAAAAGACGTACAAAAGTGCATTTTGCATGATAGGTCCCCTTTAAGTAGGAACCAAACCAATTTAGAACTGTTGCCGAAGCTCCCACCGAGTTTTCTAGTCGGTCTAGCAATATGTTGTGATCAACAGTATCAAATGCAGCACTAAGATCTGTAGCGATTAAAACTCTAACACAGAAAATACGTGTCTATGCTGCCCCAGAACGCCTCGTTGGAGATTTTTTTTCTTCCGGGGCCTATTGACGTCACTAAGTCTGGACCAATTGGCACACAGCTATAGAAACAATAAGCACACACCCTCTGCCAGGGTGGACTCCCCGAGCAGCTCAGGAGTCCGCCCCGCGAGGCTCCCGGAGCGGACAGTGTGAGGTGGATTTCCCGCTGTGTTTCCCTGGATGCTGGATATAGACCAAGTGCCGTGCCAGAGGGACACCGCAGCAACCAGGAAACGACACCAGTAATCCAGCTCACACTGTCCGCTCCTCGAGCCTCAAAGGGCGGAGCAGTGAGCCCTGCAACATCCCACCAACACGGCACCCAGACCCCCACGCAGCATTCTCATCTGTTTGTCATTACTGGTGTCATTTCCTGGTTGCTAACAAATGCCATTGTAACACATAAACACTGATGTTCAGCTGGTGGTTGGCTAATCAGAACAGAGTGGGCGAGCTGACCAATCAGAGCACAGTAGGCTCATAGGGAGGGGGGGGGGCAGGAGCTCCAACAAGGCGTGTAGGACAGAGAGTGAATACACATACTATACAGAGATGCTGTATGAGAAACCAATGTGATTTTGGAACATTGAACAATATACATCTATTCTAGTAGAACTCAACAATGGAATTATGATCAGTAGAAATGGCCATGTCATGGGACCTTTAAGTGATCACATTTATTTTTCAGAAATACTTCAAACTATCAATTTAGAACAAACAATCAATAGGAACATGTTTACAGAGTTTACAATCCAATTCACAATGGTAAATGGCTCATAGACTTCTATGCAATCAGATCTCTTTTGCAATAGAGGAGTCATCCCTTGCTGGATATTATAAATAATGTAAGTTTAAGCACTTGGTAAACTTGCTTATTTTTTTATCTTTTTAATATGATCTACATGTTACCAAGACAATATAAAGTCCATGCGGGTAAACACTATTGTAAAGAATGTAATGAAGAGAAAAGAGGTCAGTTAAAATCTGCAGATGACCATGGTTTGTCCCAAAAATGCTTGTTGGACTTGGAAGAGAGCAAAAGTTCAGTAACAAAACAAGTGCAGCTTCTCTCAGCCTGTGCTACACTACAGTATATAGACAGCATGAGGGTAAAGCCTGACACTCGTCATATTTTAGCATTTCCCTGCTCCTCATTATTCCCGTCAGAAAACTGCCATACCTGTGGTATATTTTTTCACTTCTGGCAGATGGCAGGAATTATAAATCTATTTCACAGATAGCATCAACCAAAACAGAAAATAGGAAAAGTCATTGGACAGCAGAAATCTACTATAATGGATTTCTGTGGAGGAAAGAATCAGCTTAAATGTCAAATTTTCCAACTTCCAGATTTGTGTGAAAACTAAGAGGCATGCTGAATGTATTCCACCGTGCTCCTTAGTGACCCCCTCACCACCTCACGGTCTGAAACAACACCCATTCAGTTTTCCTGGAAATGTCATCTTTGACAAGGAGGGTGATTCAGCTTGAGTGTGGGGCTAAATCTGTACAATGAGTCAGTGCATCATTTCCTTGTGTCTAATTTAGGAGAACAGCAATAAGACCCTCTGTGCCAAATAATAAATAATATATTTCATCTAAAATAACAGGTGTGGAGGCTATGACTCAAACATTTCTCATTCTAGTCGTCCTGTGAAAATCATTAACAAAATTATTAACATTCATGTAACTATTCATTTATGACATCCCATAATCAATCGCAAACTCAAATTATAATGCTACAATTACGACCAGTTACATTAATTAAACGGTTAATGACTTTGTTATTTTATTTTATTTTAGTAATTAGGTGTTTACAAGACATGACAGTAAAGACTTACAAATGTTCACCGAAACAATATACACACAAATGACAAAATAGTTATACAGGTGTTGAGTAGGTGTGTGTGTGTGTGTGTGTGTGTGTGTGTGTGTGTGTGTGTGTGTGTGTGTGTGTGGTGTGGTGTGTGTGTGTGTGTGTGTGTGGTAGTAGTAGTAGTAGTAGTAGTAGTAGTAGTAGTAGTAGTAGTAGTAGTAATAGTAGTAGTAGTAGTAGTAGTAGTAGTAGTAGTAGTAGTAGTAGTACAGTAGTAGTGGTCCCTGTGTGTAGGCAGTCTTGTTATATGTACTGTAAGGAAAGGAAATCCATATATTCGATCCCTCTCACACTTTTCTCATCCCATGTTTCCTCCTCTCCTCCTCCTTCTAATTTTCTTCTTTGTCCTGGGTTTCGGTGGCAACTGGTAAAAGGGCCTTTTGGCACATCACATCATGACCCAGTGGACCATACTGTAAGTTCACTCCCAACACAAGTCAGACGGAGTGAAACGAGGCTTGAAGCATTTCCAATCTACTCTACGAGTCCTTATAGCTCTATTGAATATGGATTCAATAGAGCTATGTGTGTGTGTGTGTGTGTGTGTGTGTATGTGTGTGTGTGTGTGTGTGTGTGTGTGTGTGTGTGTGTGTGTGTGTGTGTGTGTGTGTGTGTGGCTACGGGGTTTTGTTTCTCTATTTATGGGTAGAAGAAAGAGTGAGCAAGATAAAAAATAATCACGTCAATAATAAAACAAATAATAATATAAACATATTCCAAATAAATACATTGGTAAAAAAAAAGCAAGAATACTAATGATAATCTTAATATTTAAGATAACCAAACGGCTGTTTTTTTTGTTTTTAATCATTATGAGTTATTTCAGAACTTGATTTAAAATGCAGACGGACTGTAGTAAGCTGTTTGTCGGTGCAGCAGGCGTTCAGCACCATGGACAGCGCCGCGCATCATTTCGCGCTCATTGGACCGGCACCGGGAGAGAGAGAGAACAGCTCCTGGAAGTTTTAAGTTGGACTTTCTCTCTCTCCCTCGAGAGACAGAGCTGAAACACAGATCTGTCTGAGAGCCTCATGATGATCGTCTGGTTGGTCTGCTGCTCTCTTCCCCACTCCGCCCCCATTTAGCCGCTGGAGAGCGGCCAACCGTGATTTAAATCGGACAGAGAGAGGAGACAGGAGCGTCTTTGCACACAGTGGGTAACCAAAAGGTGTTTTTTCCGAACAATCCCCTGATCTGCACAAAGTTTGACACCTCCAGCGAACTCACTTTTTCTCAATTCTCCCATATTTCTGTTTGGATTTTCTTTCTCTATTTGCCATGTCTTAAAGCAACAAGTGTTGCTCGCGACAGCTTGTCTAGACAATTATTTTTCCCAAACACAGACAAATAAAAAATAAATGCCAACGACACATTAGCTTTCGTTCGGTGGCAGTGTGGCCACCCAGTGTGCCGCCGCCGGGACACCGGACCGCGATGATCGTGTCCAACGTGAGCCTGAGTGGCTGCGCGGGGGCAAACAGCGCGCTGTGTGCCGCGGTCGGGGACGGGCACCAGGGGGGAGGCTCCTACCGGTCCACCCTGAGTCCGACAGGGAACCTGGTGGTGGCTGTGTGCCTGGGCTTCATCGGCACTTTCGGACTGCTCAACAATCTGCTGGTGCTCATTCTCTTCTGCCGCTACAAGATGCTGCGGTCTCCCATCAACCTGCTCCTGATTAACATTTCCATCAGCGACCTGCTGGTTTGCGTGCTGGGGACTCCGTTCAGCTTCGCCGCCAGCACGCAGGGAAGGTGGCTCATAGGGGAAGGAGGATGCATGTGGTACGGCTTCGCAAACTCCCTGTTTGGTGAGTAGAAATGCGTAACGTTGATCGTTTGGGTTGTATTTGTACTGTACGTTGTTATAGGAGACTGATAGTACGCCGTATTTGTGGAACGCTGCGAGAGTAAAATACTTAATTTCTGGGGTCGAAATTAAAGATACAAAAATGATGCCATAGTATATCTTTCCTCGTAACTCTTTGTATTTTTGGTTGTATCAAACTTTCAAGTAAAAGCATGAAATCGGTGTAGCCAATATGAATTGAACTGAGACAATGAGTTGCTTTATACCACGCCAAATTCGAACAAATCGAACCCATTGTTTGGTCGATTTATTTGTTTTTCATTCCTCCGCATACTTGTGAAAATGGTCTCCCTTTTAAGCTTCCTTTTCTTTATTGTGGTTGTAATTATCCTGCAGATTTTAAAGGTCTTCTTTGCAGAAGCTGCAGTTTGTCTCATTGGCTGTTGTGTTTGCGGAAAAGCCGTACGAGGTAACCCAGTAGAGCGGGGTCTCGGATCTCACGCATGGACGCACCTCGCGGTCCCTGGTGATGCCTTGGTTTCTGTCCGGGTGAGGAGATCTTGTGTAATACTGGACATTATCTCCGTTTGGGGCTGCATGAGTGACTGTTGAATCTCTTCCAGCCCTCTTCCAAAGCTGCACATTTCATGGCTTCAGGGCCATTTTGGGAAGCATATGGTGTGCTGAGCTCTCAGTCACTTGTTCAAATGTCCTTAGGAACTCTGGAAACGTGTCACACAGAGCTGTCAGTGCATTTAGGCTGATGTGCTGTATAACGTTATGTACAGAGAGGTATCAAATGGCCGCTAAATGCTTGTTACTGCCTGAGGCAAGGGAAGATCGTTGCTCATCAAGGTCTCTGGGATGTAGGGAAATGCATTTGTTGCAGAAACAAATCACCATTAGGAAATGTGCAATGAGAAAAGGGGCTCTGGTTTAGTGGTGAAATGTTATCAAGTAAATGTACTCAAATATTGTACTCAAGTACAATTTGAAGGTACTTAAAGTTAAAAAAAAAATAGTATTTTCATGTTATGCTAATTAATACTTATACTCCACTACATTTTGGTAGTTACTTAACGGATTCTGATTATTAGCTCATAGAAAATATATAAACTAAAGTAATTTACATTGACATCTAATTATAGGCAGAGGTGGAAGAAGTACTTTATTGAAGTACATTTAGCAATACAGGGGGGATGGTAAACGTACTTGGTTACAAATACAAGTCCTGCATTCAAAATTGTACTTAAGTAAAAGTTCAAAAGTATTGGCATCAAAATATGCTTTAAGTACGAAAAGGAACTGAAGTCATTTAGCAGATTTGAACACCATGTATTCATAATTGTGTTATAATAATCATTCACTGTTGAACTTGGTAAAGGTGGGATTTATTTGGATTACTTTTGATAAAACTGGGTAGTTTAACCTTTAATATACTAATGTATACGTTGATTTATATTGTTTGTAATAATCTAAATCCTCAAAGAGGTTACCTCAATCTGTAAAATAAATGAAGTGGAGTGAAAAGTACAACATTTGCCTACAACATGTAGAGGAGTAAGTATAAAGTTGCATAGTGTGAAAATACATGTATTAAATTCCACCTCTGATTATAGGCTAACATTTCCAACAGCATTACACTTAAAGTAAATACATATACAGTATATAAATATAAATCAACTAAAACTAGAAAAACCTAGAAAACAAAAGCAAAAAGAGACAGTGAAAAAAAACGTCACGCCAACTTAAAGGGGACCTATCATGCAAAATGCACTTTTGTACGTCTTTTATACATGAATATGTGTCCCCGGTGTTCCAGGGAACTCACCAAGTGTCAGAAAACACAACCCTCTCTCTTTTCCTCCATACCAAAATCTCTAAAAAAGGGGCTGCAACGGATCTGATAAAAACTGATCCAGATTTGAACACTGTCCTGACGTCAGGACAGTGGCGCTACGGCTATTGGGCCAACTACACCAATCAGGAGGAGACAGCCACGGCCATTGCCTCGAAAGCGCTGGAGACGCTGTAGTACATATGCCAGGCCTGTAGATGGTGCTGTTCTCACTGAATCTGCCCCTGCACAAACAGAGCTAGAAAATTGTCAAATTGAGCAAAATGAGGCATGGCTAAAATGCATGATCTGTTTGGTATTTAAAAAAAAAAAAAGTATAAATATGCCTTATATAGGTATGGTCCTACACTATATTATTCAAATATAGCATGATAGGTCCACTTTAAGATCAATATTCAAACATACAGATTCAAAATGGTACAAGTTGAAGCGTTTGTTTGAACAGTTAGCAGGAGGCAGGTACTTGCTTTGAAGCAGAACAGGGCAAACAAACTTAGCGGGAGTGTTTACGTGTTCGGTGTAATGACGTAAAACGGCCTGGACAACTTCTGTAGTCCTATTCAGCCACTTGTTAACAACCATCATTTTTCAGACACGTAAACTCTTCAAAAATCACCATCGGGGTCACTGCTGATGTATTTAATGTCGTAGAACAAAACGTGATCTGTCTCTTCAATTTGTGTCAAACACAGACCTTATTTCCAGCTATTTTCCAAAATCCTATGGAGAAATTGCATTGCATTTTGTCGAAGGAACCGGACGTGGTAAAAATGCTGACTTACTTCCGGGTTTTAGGACGCGTCACTGCGGTTCTCTATAAAGAGCACATAGGATCATAATACATCAACTCACAATTTACATATGTGAATAATCTTGTTTTGGGTCTCATGGGATCTGTTAGAAAAATGCATGAAAGATAATGAATATTTCTACTTTTACTAGAGTATATAATCTGAGTACTTCTTCCACCACTGGGTCTACTTTTGCTCAAGAGTGCTGATAGCGATGCAAATTGGGTGCAGTGATGCACTGAGAATAAAACACTTGCTTTCTCACCTGGAACAAGACACAGGGTGGCGGGGAAAAGCTATTTCTAGAGGACATGGGGTGCTATGTAAAGGTTGCAAAAAGGGAGTTTTGTATTCAAGAAACATAAAAACAAAAATCATATTGATTTCCCTTGAGCCCAGAATCCATCAAAGCTTCAGATGCATGATTAGGAATGACATTTGTTTGATGCTACAAATCATTTGCAGGATGCTTTAAAACATAAAAGTGCTCTCCTATCACCGGGTGTCATTGGCCTGATGCTTGATTTGAGGTTATTTAATGAACAGCGCTTTCTTGTCATCAGTCCCTCTAATTGCTTTAAAAGCTTTTTCCAAGGCATCCAAAACAAGCTTTGAAGACCATGGCAGCCTGTCGGATTTTTGAAAAACACTCATTTATCCTCTCTGTGACATTCACACAATGTCAGGACATGTGCACTCATGTGTATTATAAAATATCAGAGTGCATATTTCAAAGAATGTTTGGCAGACCAACATTTGAGACGCACCACTTGTCAGTAATTGCAGAATCGTGTAAGAAAAGAAAAACATATGAGTAGAGAGTTGGTATACACAGGACAAGTTTTGGTTGGCCTTGTTCATTAGCATGCTTGAGTTTAAGTCCTTAGGAGTGGCATGTTTTAATAATCTGTCATGTTTTTCACTTTGTTTCAAGCAATACACACCATGTTAAGTGAATCAATGCCAATGGTATTCATGGTAAGCTTCTTTCTAAGATGAATTCCGAAATGGCTTTGGGAGACAAACATGTTTACTTTGTGAATGGCTTCTAACAGGATGATGAAATATCAAGAGCTTTTTGAAAGGTGTAGACCTCCGCTGCTCTTTAGTACCGTCAATGCAGGATGCCTTGCTTAAAGTAAAGCAGCGCCATGCACACTTCTAAACCACCAAACATGTTGATAAATGTGAAGCAGAAGATGGAGGCTGAATTTGGAGAAATGTGTTGCTTCTGTAACCCTGTGACACATAGGACTGTTTCTGAGCATGGACGGATTGTGAGACAAAACTGTCCAGAACACCCGGACTGAGAGAGACACAACTGTTTTGGTAGTTTTATGTCTCTTTGAGATAATACTGAGTTAGTGGTAGTTTTTCATTTAGAGATGATTGTAAAGCGATTGTTCTGAATATGTTTTTGGTAACTTGTGTGTCTTTGGCTGGTTATTTGGTGTCTATTTGTGTAAGTTCTGCAACTTTTCTCCTAGCTTTTCGCTCTTTGTATGTTTTTCATAATCATATCCTTGTGGTACTATTGTGACTTTTAATGGTAGTTTGGCCTATTTGTGGTAGTACTCTGATAGTTTTGTGTTCCTTTTGGGTAGTTTTGTGTCTCTTTGTGTATGTTCAGCACCTCTTTTGAGTAGTTTTGCATTTCACTGTGGTATATTTTTCTCCTCTTTATAATTGTTTTGCCTTTCTTAGTGCTCGCGTTGCGTCTTTGTGATCGTTTGCATCTCTTTGTGGGAGTTTTTATGTTCTTTGTGTTAGATTTGCATTTGTTTGTGGTAATTGTTTGTCTCTTTGTTGTTGTTTTGCTTATCCTTGTGGTGGTTTTTAGTTTCTTTATATGTAAGTATTGTCAATTTTAGTGGTAGTTTGGAATATTTGTGGTGATTTTGAAGTTTACTATGGTAGTTTTGCACCTTTGTGGGAGATTGGCCTTTGTTTGTATTAGTGTGGCATCTCCCTAGAGGGGGTTTTCATTACTTATTGGTATTTTACTATTTCTATGTGGAAGTTTTGCGTCTTTTTGTGATAATGTTGAATTTTTATGGTAATTTTGCAATTCTTTTTTTCTTTCTTTTTATAAATGCATTGTTTGCGGTAGTTTTGCAACTTTTCATAGTTGTTCTGCATAACCTTGTGGTCATTTTGCATCTCTGAAATAATTGTGTGTCTCTTTGTAGTAGTTTGGCATCTCCTTATAAGGGGTTTTCATTACTTATTTGTAGTTATACATTTCTTTGTGGAATCTTTTTGTTAAAATGTTTCATCTTTTTGGTAATTTTGCACTTATCTTTTCAGTTTTTTATTTATTTTTATGTATGCATTGTTTTTGGTAGTTTTGCA